CGTTGTTATGAAAGCTAAGTTCAATTTGGTGCCTCAGTACAAAGAAATAACAAGAAGGTGGAGCAAGACAGACATGTAGTTGAGGACGTGCTACAGCTCCAAGTGCTTGTCTAGCAACGAAAGAGATAAAACCGTGGTAGTCATGATGAGGCACACATACTTTTCCCAACTTCTGCATACTTTTTGGCAGTGAAACAAACATTTGGATGTTGTCTTTCTCATTGCTATAGCTAACCCTAGGATAGACAAACGCGGGATCTTTTATGAAATATCAGGCGTAGAAAAAAATCAGTGGTAGTAAGTGACGCCCTTTTAAGTCGACTGTTTTGTAAACTCTTTGATTCGCACCAAGGAATAGTGCTGAGAGGAGGCCTCCGGTGTGCATGCCACCTCCCACAAGAGATTGCTTCGAGATTCGTATAAAATATCACTTCCTTTGATGCCGAATAAATTCACAATAAAAAACTGATTGGTGCTTCTAATATGCTACATTTTGTCTTCGGTTTGGGTAGGCTGGACTAGCTCAGCAGCATTCTTGAAAGCGATTCGTAATGATCAAAAACTTACTTTATCAACTTAAGGTTGTTAGTGTGCACGATTACTCCAAATATCACAATTATGTCCCAGAACCAGGGAGCGTATATTCTTACAAGACCGTGCACTAATTTATTTAATCTCACAGTATATTTGCTTAAGTGAACCTTGTTCACGTGAAACCGTCATTAGATGAGGTTCATTGCTGAAGTTAGGTTCACTTTCTCTTCTTGTTGTGAATGCGTTGTAGTATCACAAGTTCGGTTTAAATCATACATAAAAAAGTAAGGATAAATTCACAAGTGCGCAGCCAAAGAAGCAATAAATGCAGCTAGCCTTAACAAATAAGTGAATTAGAGATAAAATGGTAAAAATTTTCAAAAATAAATGCACAACTTTACATTAAAGAGGTTTTATCAGATCGATATATGAAAAACAATATCAAATAAATACAGATCGTTCACTTAATGCAAAGCTATTGCACATTCGCTAATGATATCTATAACTAAATTCTCTTCTTGAACAGAATATGAAAAAAAAAGCATGCCAAGCACCCATCCCCATGGACTTTCTACAGTGCTATGACACGTTTGAAGATCGATTATTGCAATTTATTAATGTCTCTTCAGCACCTACATCGTCAGTATTGGAAACACCCACATAGATGTTATTTCGTCTGCAATGGATGAGGCTCATAACCGAAGTCTTTAAACACACATAAATACGTCGTAAGTGATGGAAAGGCAATGTCATGAAACTAGTGGATTCACCAACTGCCGAGGCAGAAATGTACAGAGACGCATAATAACAGGCAGAGATAAAAAAACATAGGATAAAAAACTGAAACCCAGAAAGAAGCTGATGAACTTCATCCTCCGGGTTGTCCGAGTACATTTTTCTATTTCTATCCTTTTCCTAAGATTTTTGATGGAGCAACCTTAATAAATAAATAAAGAAAAATTCGTATTAAAAATACTCAATCTAATAAGGTGAAAAGGCTGAATAAAGTATCAATTTTTACTAATTTTTAGCTTTGTTGCTAGCCTCTTTTCTGATTCTTCTAAAAATTGGTTTCACCTTAGAAGGAAGAAGTAGGTTAAGAAAAAGAGGAAAATTAAAAGTAAAAGCACAAAATATATTGGGACTACACACCTGATCTAAATATCCTTCAAAACACTACGTAAAATACGTTTTGTCGACACATGCAGTTATACTATCACTATTCTGAGTGAACATTCATCCCAATAAGGAATTAGCGTGTAGAATTCAGAAGGCAATTTATATAATCATAATTGAGAAAAATACCCCAAATGCGCCGTTAAGCCAATTAATCGGTGATAGAGTTTAATGCATTTGCTAAAGTATGGTGCAGTCCCCTCCCCCTCATTGAGCCCTCACGCGATCAGCGGCCACGACGGGCGTAAGGCAACGTCCACATCCAATCATTCGAAGGGGCCTCATCAATGGTAATGCCATTCGCATTCAGCCTACGACGCAATTTATGAAGATGCCGCTCACGACGCCGAACTTCTCTAACCGGCAGCATGGAGGAAACGGGATCCGGGGCTTCCGCTTTAACCACCTCGTACTCATCGTCCGGCGCCCTCTCGGCCTCCGAGGCCATCGGCGCCAAGACCGGCTCATACCCCCTATCCGGGCCGATAAAGATCGTGTGAGGATAGTGCATACGGCGCAAAACGTACAAAAACCCATCGCGAAGCCCCATGGTCATCTCACGAATGGCCTCCAGGTGCAAATCCCGGTTTGCCATCCCCTCCGGGACCTGAAGGGCCAGAGAAAACGAAACCGCACCGCGCGCGCCGTCGGATGGCCGCTTTGTTGACCTCGCAAAGCGTAGTTTGGCCAGAATCCGCACCGCGGCGAACTCCTGCATAACCGCCTGGTGCAGGACATATTCCTCCTCCCCCACCCCGGCGCACCTCCGCAAAGGAAGAGAAGGGGATAAAAGAAGGTTCACCTCGCGAGCCTTTTCTTCCAAGGGCGATCGATTAGTAGCCCCAGAAGGGTCCTCGTGAAGACCCGCCAAAAGGCCTTGGACGGAATCCAGAAAGGCCTGGATCTCCTCCTCGGTGGCCTGTTGAGACGCCTCGGTATTGGGATCCGAAGAAGGTTGCTGTCGGTGGTGCTGAAAACACCAGTACGCCAACTCGCGCGAATTTAACGTTCCCAGACGAAGGAACTCACACAACAAGGGTAATGTCATCGAAATCGCGTAGGAAGGCGGGACCCCGGCAAGGCCCCCGCCTTCCGGGCCGCGGCTAAGCCAGGCCGCGACCTGCTCATCCCACACGACGGCGCTCGAAAGCGCCACGTCGCCCGCTTTGACGTCCTTGTCGGTCGAAGCATCGCAGCCGATAGAAACGCCCGCGAAGGCGACCTTCCACGCGTTGGACGAGGCGAAGGATGGAGGGGGGGGTTTGCCGTCGGGGTGTTGGTTTTGGATAAAAAATGCACACCATTCGGCGAGGGAAGGGGTCACGAGGGAAATCTGGCGCGACCCCTCGCACCGCCATAAGGTAAGCGCCGCCCCAGCCTCCGCGGGGCTCGGCACCGTCCTTTCCCGCTCCGCCAGCTCGGGCCCGGCGCGAGAATGTCGGGATGCCGGCGGAGCCAAGGCGGGGCATTCGTCGCCGACCTTCAACACAATCACAAACCCCCCATCGAGGCCGGTGTGGAGCGGATTCGAGCGCCAGGCCGCGGCCGCGACCTCCGCGACGACCGAGGGCTCGCCCCACCCGACGTCCTGCGCTTCCGGGGCCCCCTCGATCGCCCGCCAGGTCCG